CTCAGTATGGCTTTAGGCAGCCTGTCTACTGATGGGTGGGACTGTGTTCCTGTCTTGCTGGTTCTTTGGCCTGAGGCATTACAGCTTAGAACCTCTAAGTTGTTGAGGGGGCGGGGGGCGCAGATCTTGGTGCCAAAATGGGGACCTCTGAGGGAGCTCATGCCAATCAATATTCTCTGAGGCCTCTTCCACCAGTGTCCTTTCCCTCACAAGGAGCCACAACCAAATGCCGCCTCCCAGACCCCTAGTTAGGTCTAGCCCCAGTTCACGTGGAGATACTGCTTTGTGCTGGTTCCCAGTGTATGTGAGACCTTGTGTGCAACCTCCAAGAGAGAAGTCTGCTTCTCCCAGTCCTGTGGAGCTCCTGCATGCAGGCCCTGATGGCCTTCAAAGTCAAATACTCTGAGGGTTTTTCTTTCCAATCCTGACCCTCACACTGCCTTGGAAGGCTGTTTTTTATATGGGAATGTCCCTGTGTAGTCTCTATGTGTTTTATATTTTTTGATGTGAGGACTGTTTTAGTATGGATGTCTACTACCCCTTTCCTCAGTGTATGCTAGCCATTATCCCCTTGATAGGAGATGTGACTGATGTTGTGGTGACCTGAGCCTGTGATGGATATTAAGCAAAGCCCCCCCCACCACTTTCTCTATGTTGTTACTGCCCTGTCAGGGGCAAGTCTGCTCCCTAGCTTTTGGAGTAGAGGTCCCCAGATCTGTCTCTGAGCTGTGTTTCTGATCTGCAGTGTGAGATAGGCAGAGTTGGAGCACTCCCACTGGGAGAAAAGTCACTGTGTTTTCCTCCTCTGGAGCTATTTACCTGTGTGCGTATTCTGTTGTGTCATTTTTCACCTCTTGTGCTGACTCACAAATTACACTATTGTTGGAAGTGCTCTCAGCCCCACCTTAACCATGGTTATAGTGGCAATTGTTCCTGGTGTTTCTCAGGCATTGTTTTCACCAAGCCACCAGTGCAGATCCACCAAAGTCATCCCAGGACTGCAGTAGTCATGTGCCTGGATCCACTGTGGGAGTTAATGGAGACAGCTCAGATTCTGACCTGCTTCAGTCCCCTTGTGTGTGTGTCCACAAAGCCCACAGCTGCTAAAACCAGACCCATCTCAGATGTGGGAGCATTCATCCATTCAGATATTCTGCAGGTGCTAAGTTTTCAAAGCCAGCAGCAGTGGTGTAAATCTATGGTTCTTGCAGCCATGACAAGAGAATCCAGCTCTTCTTCCTTTGCTGCATGGCCCCAGGGGCTTAACTGTGGATTCAGCCCCACCTCTGCGTGTTGCTCCCACCAGCACCCTGAGACCCCCTAGGGCCAGTGGGGGTGGAGGCAGCAATGGGCAGGGTGTGCAAGCCCACTGGGGCCAGCAGGCCAGAGGAGGTATTGGCAGGAGGGAAGTGGGAGCCTGCTCAGCTGCATGCTCCTCCTAGTGCCCACCGAGGCAGGGGGTAGGGGAGGGGGCACAGTGGTGGCCCTGCCTCTTGTGCATCACTCCACAATGGCATTTTGCTTCTCTGGTGGCCCAGGTTTCTTCCACAAACATTCCTGACTGTGGAACTCCTTATTCCTTCCCCTTCAGATCTGTCTCTTCACAGCCAGCAGCTGTTCTCTTCCTGAGCCCACTCTCCAAACCCCACGTTCCAGCACCCAACCCCTTCCACACCAGTGAACGTGACTCAGGCTGGGGCATGCAGAGCCGCAGCACAGACCATTCATGTAGGTCTTACACTGTCCTGCCTGCCACAGACCAGTTTCTGTATTTCCTCTCTGTCCCAGCTCTCTCCAGGGGAGAGGGAATGGCAAGCTGTTGTTTAATGAATATAGTGCTCCAGTTTTCTTTCTTTTTTTTTTTTAATTTATTTTTTTTCTTTTTTTTCCCATTTATTTTTATTAGTTGGAGGCTAATTACTTTACATCATTGCAGTGGTTTTTGTCATACATTGAAATGAATTAGCCATGGATTTACATGTATTCCCTATCCCGGTCCCCCCTCCCACCTCCCTCTCCGCCCTATCCCTCTGGGTCTTCCCAGTGCACCAAGTCCGAGCACTTGTCTCATGCACCCAATCTGGGCTGGTGATCTGTTTCACCCTAGATAATATACATGTTTCGATGCTGTTCTCTTGAAACATCCCACCCTTACCTCCTCCCACAGAGTCCACAAGTCTGTTCTATACATCTGAGTCTCTTTTTCTGTTTTGTATATAGGGTTATCGTTACCATCTTTCTAAATTCCATATATATGTGTTAGTATACTGTAATGGTCTTTATCTTTCTGGCTTACTTCGCTCTGTATAATGGGCTCCAGTTTCATCCATCTCATTAGAACTGATTCAAATGAATTCTTTTTAATGGCTGAGTAATATTCCATGGTGTATATGTACCACAGCTTCCTCATCCATTCGTCTGCTGATGGGCATCTAGGTTGCTTCCATGTCCTGGCTATTATAAACAGTGCTGTGATGAACATTGGGGTGCACGTGTCTCTTTCAGATCTGGTTTCCTCGGTGTGTATGCCCAGAAGTGGGATTGCTGGGTCATATGGCAGTTCTATTTCCAGCTTTTTAAGAAATCTCCACACTGTTTTCCATAGTGGCTGTACTAATTTGCATTCCCACCAACAGTGTAGGAGGGTTCCCTTTTCTCCACACCCTCTCCAGCATTTATTGCTTGTAGACTTTTGGATAGCAGCCATCCTGACTGGCATGTAATGGTACCTCATTGTGTGCTCCAGTTTTCAAGACGGGAAGAGTCCCAGACATTCACTACAGTGTGAGTGTACTGAACATTACTGTACTATACTACACTTAAAAATGGGCTATGGTGGTAAATTTAAAGCTAAGTGTATTTTACCACAATTTAAAAAATATTAACCACTGGGGTGTATACATCTGTCACCTCATGTGAGCCTTGCACTAACCCTGAACTGTTAGTAGTATATCCCTATTTTATAGTGAGGAGCTTAAGGCCGGAAAAGTGAAGGAAGTTGGCCGAGGCACATGACGGGAGAACGGCAAAGCTGAGCCTCAGCCTCGGATCTCCTGGTTCCATGCCCAGTGCTGGCTGCCACCGCATCAGGGGGGAGGAAGGTCAATGGGATCAACTCGACTGCTGGCTGAAACATAAGAGATTAGCCCTTGGCAGTTTGTGAAGAAAGCTATAAATGTGTGTGTAGGGGTATGTATGTGTGCGTGAGTGACAGACAGAGAGAGGAGGCAGAGAAGGAAGGGGATGGAGGGAGGGTTGAAGAAAGAGGGAAGAGCATGCAAGCATGCTTCCAGACACCTGCTTCATAGTCCTTGTCCAATATTCCTCCCTTCCTAAATCTTCAGAGGGCAGGTGTGAGTCAACTGTAAACACAGTGAGAAAAGGTGATCCAACAGTTATTCCTTCTGCAGGCAAAATCCGAAGTTACCTGCATAAAGATTGTATACCTAAAAGTAAGACCCTTAAGATGATTGGGAGAAGTTGGCGGCTGTTACTTCGGAAATGGCTCCATTAGATGTCCTTCTATGCTCTATCTACCCACCACCTCCTCTAAAGACAGAAAATGACAAAATGGATGTACAAAAGCAAATTTAGTGAGGGAAGGGAGGGGTGGGACTGGGAAGAGCACTGCACAGGCATCGAGCCCAGTCCCACCTACATAGACCACCCACTTACGGTACGATCCTGTGTGTATCCCTTCCTCTGCTCCAAGGGTTGGCCTGCTGTTACTACCACCATTTTCATTCACTGGATTTGAGCAGAATTTAAAGTAGAACACAGTCTCCCAAGGAGAGTCAAAAGTACAAGAGCATCATCTCATCCCTTTTAAGTAGCTTTTATTTACTATGTGCCAGGCACTGTGATAGACTCTTTACATATGGCAGCCCTCATCCTTCTACTGCTTGCAAGTTATTTTTATGATGAGACTGCATTGATTGTACCAAGTTTCCCAAAATATTTGCCTAGATGATAAAGAGTGGAGTCAGAAATGGAAAACATACCTGTCAGGTTCCAAAGATTGCTCTTGTTGCCACCCTGTGATATTAAGTTCAATAGCCAGGCAACATGGAGCCAGGGAAGGAGTTAGCCTACCTGTCAGCCACAGGGCAAATCTTGTGGAGAAGGTGGGCATTATTGTTGCAAGAAAGCAGTTGACAAGTAGATAGGGAGATGCATTGGGGGAGCAGGAACACATAAGCAGAGTCAGGGTGGTAGAGAGTATAAAGTTTCTAGAAACTTGTCAGTTATCCTTTTGGTTTCAGTTCAATTCAGTTCAGTTGCTCAGACGTGTCTGACTCTTTGAGACCCCATGGACTGCAGCATGCCAGGCCTCTCTGTCCATAACCAACTCCCAGAGTCCACCCAAATCCATGTCCATTGAGTCGGTGATGCCATCCAACCATCTCATCCTCTGTCATCCCCTTCTCCTCCCGCCTTCAATCTCTCCCAGGATCAGGGTTAAGTGGTGGTTAAGAATCCATCTGCCAACACAGGAAATGCCAGAGATGTGCGTTCAATCCCTGGGTTGAGAAGACCCCCTGAAGGAGAAAATGGCAATCTACTCCAGTATTTTTGCCAGGAAAATCCCATGGGCAGAAGAGCCTGGAGGGCTACAGTCCATGAGGTCACAGAATCAGACACAACTGAGTGACTAAGCACACACACACATGTTGATCTATGGCTGAGATCATAATCCCACAACTTTTGTTCTTAAATGCCGCATGAAGGGGTTTATTTGGACAGGCAGTAGAGAGCCACCAAAAGTTTATATCAAGGGATTTATCAGTAATTGTTAGTGCTATCTATTTTATAAGAGTTCTTTGTATGTTGTGACGAGATTAAGCATGGCTGCAGTATTTCAAAGAGCACATAGTTGTTTTCACTCTGCCTCACATTACTGATACTACTCAATAGATAAGCAATGGCATTATATCAGCACCTAGAGCCTCTTAGCAAGCACAGTGAAGTCAACTAATGGTGCTGCTTTTTTCTTTTCTTTTATGCTCCAGGAAAGATTAAGAAACTTCAAGGAACTTCAAGCCAAATTTCAAAATCTTGATGCATCATCTCTTTCAGGACCTATTAAATTCCCAGCAGATGTTTCTCAAAAGGGAGACTTTGGAAGTAGACAGTCCACAAAGACTTTGGCCAGTGGGAAACCTCCCTCATCCAGCCACAATCAGCACTCACTCAACTGTGCCGATGGTGATCCCCAGCCTCTTAAACCCCAGGAAGTGAAGGTGACTCAGAAGAGTGAGACTCAGAAATGTTCTAATTACCTGGAACCTCCAAGTTTTTCTGGTTCTGCAGTAAGTTCACAGAAGGCTTCTCCGCAGTTAGATGTGTATCAGTCAAATGGTGAGATAGCCAATAAGAAGAAAGTCATGGTGAATGATAGCTTCAGAAACAAGCTCTGGAGCTGGGAGGTTTTATCTCAGAAAAGTGAGACACCATCCGTCTTTCTCCCTGCCAGTTGTGGAAGCAGGGCCTTCCATCTAAACGAGCAGAAAAGTATCAAGCTGACTCCAGAGGAGCCCAGGGAAAAGATGGAAATAAAAGAAGCCCAGTCTCTACCTTCCCACAGGCACCTGATGGCCCAAAGAAGATTGTGTGCCATCTCTGAAGATCCCACCGTTCGACTTTCTCAATGTAGCAGGGAGAGTGGAACAAAGTCCAGTCCTGAGAGGAGCCTGACAGGGAGCATCTGTCACCCTGTCTATGACAATGAGCTCACCAGCCAGACCCCAGGTGAGAAATCAAACCCCCACAGGCCTAGGGGGAGGGATCACTGTACATTTCTAATTTAGAGCTTACTGGCATGGGTGGGCTCATATGTGGCCTGGGCAGTGTTTGTCCCATACTCTAGCACAGATATTCTAAGCCCATCTGATAGATTATAATTTCAGGCTTGGATTAAGTGATTAATCTCCTGGAATTATACGGAGAGACAGGTGGGACAAACCCGGATTTGAATCCTTCAGCTCTGCTTCTTAAAAGATGGCTGAACTGGGGCAGTCTGCTTAATTTCACAAAGCCTGGTTTCCTTTCCTATCAATCGATCCACTGCCAGTATTCCTTGTCTTAGTAAGTAGCACAACCACCCTCCTATTTGCTCAGGCCAAAAATCTAGGAATCATATTCTATTCCCCTCACCCACCCCACCTCCCTGCCTCTTTGTTTATAAGTAATCATTGTTTGCAGCAAGTTCTTGGCTCCGTCACCAAAATACGTTCTGAATCTCCTGACTTGCTTCCATTTCCGCCTTCTGCTCAGGCCTACACCACTATGGACCATCCTTTGCTTGGACCACTGCCAGGTCCAGCTGGTCTCCCTGCTTTCACAGCCTTGCCCTCTTGTATTCGATGCTCCTCCTCGCAGGTACAGTGATGCTCTAAAGCATTAATCCGATCATATCACTCCCCTGCTCATTTCAGCTTTAGCTGTCTTACTGTGGCTCATACAGTTTGCCCCTTGCCAACATCTTGTGCTCTCTCCTCGTGCACCGCACTGACCTTCTTTCTATTCCTTAGATAGACCAAGCTAGTTCCACCCCAGGGCCTTTGTGCTTGCTGCTCTCTCTGTCTGGAGCACTTTTCCTGTAGGAGTTTGACATCTCACTCCTTCATTTTATCAAGGTCTCTGCTCAGTACCTCCTGCTGTGTGTGGACCTTGTGGATCACTCTATCTGAAATAGCCACCCACCTCCAGCAGTCTTTTTCTTACATTGCTTTCGTTTTTCTCTCACTTACCCCTATCTAGTTTGTTATGTATTTGTTTACCTCAGTAAATTATACGTTAAGTGAGAATAAAAACTGTCTTCTTTACCATTGTATCCCCAGAACCTAAAAGAACAAGGCCAGTTTCAACGAGTTCTCAGGAAAGTATTTTTTTGAATAAATGGCTGGCTGGCTGGCTGGCTGGCTGGCTGGCTGGCTGGCTCTCTTGCTTACAATCCTATTTGGTTTCTCTTTCACTCAGAATAGCATCTAAACTACTTACTACTGACTTCACAGCTCTGCTTCTTTTGGTCCCTGCTTATGTCTCTGACTTACTTCCTGCTGTCTTTCCCTGGCTCACTAGCCTATAGACAACATCCTGGATTTCCCTGCTGTTTTGTGAACAAACTTCATTATGACTCAGGACCTTATGATTTCTGTTCCCTCTTCCTACACAATACTTCGCTTTGATCTTTCCTTTGTTACCTTTAGGTCTAAGTTCAAATGACACTTTCCCAGATAAGCCTTCCCTAGCCAAAGATCTCTGTCTAAAGTCCATTACCTCACCACCAAGAATTCACATTCTTTCATATCATCCTGTTTTATTTCCTTTATAGAATTAATAGATTGCTGTGATTTTCTTTTTCTACTTTTTAAAAATTGAAGTCTAGTTGATTTACAATGTTGTGTTAGTTTCAGATGTATAGCAAATGATTCAGTTATACATATATATGTATATATATGATTCTATTCTCCTTTAGGTTCTTTTCCTGTATAGGTTAATACAAGATACTGAGTTTAATTCCCTGTGCTTTTCAGTAGGTCCTTGTTGGTTATCTATTTTATGTATAGTAATGTGTACATGTTAATCCCCAAATCCTTATTTGTCCCCCATCACTGCCCTATTATGGTTTTCTTATCTGTTTATTTGTTTGCATGTTTATCATCAGCCTCCTCCTATTGGAATGAAAATTCTTGAGGGCAGAACTCTATCTTTTCTTGTCCTTAACTCTAGTTCTAGCCCCTGGAACAATGCTTGGAATATAGTAAATAATTGTTGATGAAGGGATAGGGAGGAAGAAAGGATGAAGAGGAGCAAGGAGAGATGGGAGGAAAGAAAGGTCTAGATAACCTACCTGACAGAGCTGTTGGGAGGATCAGATGGGATAACCCGTGTATATTGCTTAGCACAGTGCCTGATAAAAATTAGGAGCCCAGTTAGTAAGTAACTGATCTTTCACTTTTACTGTCTTCTCTATTATTTGATAAAGACTAAAACCTCTGACTTTGAAGCTTATAATTCAAGTCTTAAAAGAAAGGAACTTTGGCCCTAACTATGTAACCCTTGCTAGTAGGGCTAGAAAGACACCCCACCCACTCCTTGACTCCTGAGGATAGCAGGGCTTTGAGGAGGTCGCACTCATGTTTTTGTAAAACACTAGCCAACTTTCTTTAGTTTTACCATGTGGTCAGCCACTGTATTATGTCAACCAAAAATCAAGGCACTTGAATAATATAAGATTTTGTGCTGTTTTCAGTGTAAAAAACATATGCAATATTTATGTATAATGTTGGAATTTCTGCTCATCAGTGCAGAAGAATAAAATACATAAAATTGGGACTGTCCTGGAAAATTACAGGATATAGAATCCACAGGTGCCCAGCCTTGAAACCTGTTCTAGATGCTGGAACCCTGGAAATCAAGACACCAGTTGTTACTTCTCTTCATGTCCCCCATGTTATTTGCCCATCATGAGCTCTTTGTCAAGAATGCTTTCAGGAAATAGTCATTGTCCATCTGTCCACTGTCATTGTGCATTTCTGCTGACGCTGGTCCTGTGCTTGGCACTCAGAGGAGACCACTAGGGCCTAGTCCCTTCGAACCCAGGTCTCCCGCATTGCAAGTAGACGCTTTAACCTCTGAGCCACCAGGGAAGCCCCCCTTCCTTCTAGGAACCTACATTCAGTGGGAAGATAGACCAGCCCTGCTCACATGTCACAGCACTGATGGAGAGGTGGTAACAGTGTGCTAGGTGATACTGAACAAAGAGTGGTTGACTATGAGCTGGTTTTCTGGTAGAATTCTGGACAGGTATCATTGGAGAAGGGTCTTAAAGAATGAGTCAAAGTTCACCAAGGGAGGAGTAAGGGAACAGCATACCAGAACAAGAATGGCATGAACAGTTCAGTTCAGTTCAGTCGCTCAGTCGTGTCCAACTCTTTGTGACCCCATGAACCACAGCATGCCAGGCTTCCTTGTCCATCACCAACTCCCGAAGTCCACCCAAACCCATGTTCATTGAGTCGGTGATGCCATCCAACCATCTCATCCTCTGTCATCCCCTTCTCCTCCTGCCCTCAATCTTTCCCAGCATCAGGGTCTTTTCAAATGAGTCAGCTCTTCACATCAGGTGGCATGAACAAAATCTTGGATATTTGAGAACTATTTAAGGCTTTTGAAATCAAATCTGGACTTGTAATAACCTAGAAAAGAGTCAGAAAAGGATCTTATATACATATAAAAACTGAGTCATTTTGCTGTGTACCTGAAATGAACACAACTTTATACACATATACATGCACACACAAACGTATGGCTCACTATGCCATACAACTTTGTAAAATAACTATTCTTCAAATAAAAAATGAATTAAAAATAGAATAAAAATAAAATTAAAAAGGAGGAAAAAAACTGCAAAAAATATTTATGAAATCTGGAAAACTGAGAAGCCAGTGGTGTGAGCGAAAGATGTTGGGACTGAAGATTTTTGGGGAAGCAGGATGGTAAAATGTGGTAAGAAAAAAAAATGTAGGCTGTGTGGTGTTTTAACACCAGAGGACGGAGTGAGTAGACGGCAGCTGAGGAGATCAAGCTTCATCCTCTGGGCAGCTGGGATGGTGGCAAGCTTGGGTTCACATGTTGATCAGGACACTCTGGCTACTGGGTGGAGAACAGGTGGGAGGGGAGTGAGACTGAGGCCAACCATGAGATGGAAATAATAACCTATATTTTGGACTCTTTGTCCCCAGAGGAACAGCCAGATGTCAGGCATCCGCAACTCCCCAATATCAAGCCACTGCCTTCCGTCGAGTCCCTGGGTCCTCCTCCCCCAAAGCCGCCAAGGCCCCCAGTCATGACCCTCCAGGCCTTCCAGAGGCAGGCAGCTGCTCTTTCCAAGCCCGATGGGGAAGGTAAGAAAACACACAGGGCCCGTGCACAGCCAGCCAAGGGGAGTCATGGCTCCTGTGCCCCCATCTCCCCGTCACCTCCCCCCGCTGCATCAACTCCCAGGGGACGGTGCCAAACTGCTTCTCTGTGGGGCTGGACATCCATCACTGCTTATTCTCAAATAGAGGCTGTGGCAGCTTGCCCGTGAAATGACAAATCTGTGGAAATTGGCCCCTTATCGCTCCTGGGCCAGCCTGCTTCCCCTGAGAGCTTTGCGTTTGATCACTGGGAATCTGTCCAAGAGGAAGAAAAAGAAAAGTAGCTGAAGAGGGAGGCAGGGAGTCTTTGTTTTCCTACAAAGCCTGTGTTGTCAACACAACCAAGAGGAGGAGGAGAGGGGGAGGGAGTGGAGAGAGGAAACTCAGTGTGAACCTGACCTGGGATCGTGATGGGAGTCTCCTGGGCCACTGTGATCTCTGTGATCTGTGTTCAGGAATGAATTGAAGGGCCCCCACCCCTGCCGCCACTATCCTCCATTCTATAAACTGCAGCATCTTTGGTTGGCAGCATTCTTTCTGTGCTCTTCTGTGTTTTCCTCTGCTATGTAAGGGAACCTTCTCACCCCCATCCCCCACCGTAGCCTGATCCCACTGACACTGTAAACACCTTAGCTTACACCTGCTCTAATGAAACACGAGGTGAACATACACTTTGGGGTGATGTGTGGTGCTGTGCTAGCATTTTTCTTACTGTGGCCACGCGCACCAGTGAACACTACACTGAAAGAGCTAATTCTTCATTCGTTTCTTCTTAGCTTGCTGATTGCTCATTAGACTACTGTGGGCTACCTCAGGGTGAAATTTCTCTAACTCAGTGGTTCTCAAACATCGGCATGCATCAGAATCAACTGGAGGACTTGTTAGAATACAGCTTTCTGGGTCCGAACCCGGAGTTCTGAGTCAGTTGGTCTGGATTTCTGCTTAGTCGCTCAGTCAGGTTCGACTCTGCAACTCTTTGGACTGTAGCCAGTCAGACTCTGTCCGTGGGATTTCTCTGGCAAGAATATTGGAGTGGGTTGCCATCTCCTCCTCCAGGGGATCTTCCCGACCCAGGGATCAAACCTGCATCTCTGTCTCCTGCATTCCAGGTGGCTTCTTTACCCGCTGAGCCATTGGGGAACTCCAGTTTGGGTTTGAAGCGTTTGAGAATTTACGTTTTTAGCAAGTTCACTGAGAGACACTGATGTTGCTGGTCTGGGGGCCATGCTTTGAGAACCACTGTTAAAAGTTACATTAAGTCATATCCTAAAAGGAAATTCTGTAACAAGAAATCGAGCTCTTCTAAGTATACTTTGATAATATGGCTATCTCCATATCAAAGAGGGTGAAGTTTGATTTTTATAAACATTAAATAATTCAGGCCTCAAACCATCTCTCCAAAAGAGAAAAAAGTTGTCAGAGAACAGAGGACTAAGTTTTGGGGAATAAAATGGGCTCCCCATTTTATTGAAAATCCCAGCTCCCCCATCACTGGCTATTTAGGTTTGGGCGTGGGACCCACTGAGCTTCATTGTCGTTATCTGTAAAATGGGGATGATGGTAAGACCCCTCTTGTAGGATGGTTGTAAGGAGAAATGAGATGAGGCCTGGGAAGACTGGACAGTGGCCAACACAACAGCAAGCGCTCAGTAAAGGCACTCTTACCATTACCTCAAGCATGTGTTGAGCAGCTGCACTCTTCTTTGCCAGACTCTGTGATAGAAACAAGAGATTAGTTAGAAGTGCTGTTAGAGATAGTGGACATCCGCAGGGCAAAGGGGAAACAAGAACATCAACCTAGGTTTCATACGATTGAGGAAACTGGATAGAGTATATGGGGTCCCTCTGTGTTATTTCTTACTACTGCATGTAAACCTACAATTGTCTCAAAGTGGAAAGTTTAATTTTAAAAAAAATCAAAGAAACAAGAAATTAAGAGATAAATCCCATAGGAGTTTCAGGGACCAAGGAAGTCAAAGTCTAATATAAAGAGACTGCAGTCATAAATAAACACCATAAAGTGTGTGTGAACGCTGCATGCAGTCCCTGACAGTCCCTGGGTGCTGGGGTAGGGTGGGTTGGGGCACAGGTGAGCTGCCTTTCTACATTTTCTCTGGTGGTGGGAGGGAGTCAGGTCATTGTACAAACAGTTCACTTAAACAGACTGCCACTAACATGTCTTTTTTTCGCCCTGCCTCTTGCTCTTGCAGAAGCTGCAGAAGAAGGCTACCTGCCTCCAGCGAGGTGAGTACCCGTTTCTTAATTGTGCAGGAGTGCAGCCCATCAACGAGGTTGCTTAGCCTGCCCCAAAGCAGGCAGTAAGCACAGGCCAGGTGTCTGTATTTCTCAGAAGAGTTGGGGGAAGAAGAGATAACAAACTGCAACCGACTGCAGCTTTCAATTAAATGAGAGATTAAATAAACTGCATTTAACAATCGTGCTGATGTTAAGTTACAAAGATGGCTCTCTGTGGTCCTTTTATTTACGGTACAGTTGGGCTCAGTAAATTGAAACATCAGCCTTCTAGTAATAAATCGGATTGGAGGCTACAGAGTGCTGTGGGCAGCTAGTATGATATTAGGAATCAGTAATGGGACAAAGGACTTTCTGGCTTTGGTGCACTCATTGTAATACTTTTGCCATGGAAGTGTCAGTCTATGTATCGCGCCCTCTGATGTGTCATGCGTTGAGCTGACCACTTTATACCGAGGTTCTCATGTCCTCTTCTCAAGAAGGCTGCGAAGTTGCTGGCTCTGTTTTCATTTTATAGCTAGAGATACTTGGGCTCAGAAAATTTGCCACTTGCAGAGCCACAATTCTAACCCACGTGTTCCCAAACTATTTTTTTTAAGCTGAGATATAATGGATATGTACAACTGTGTAAGTTCGAAATGCACAATATGTTGGTTCAGTACACATATTTCACAATATTGTTACTGGGGTAGCATTAACTAACACTAGCTAAGACCTTTATCACCTTACATAATTATCATTTCTTTTGAAAACAGTTAAAATTCTAGTCTCTCAGCAAGTTTAAGTTTATAATACAGCATATTTTCTTTTACTATAGTCCCTATGTTGTGCATTGAGTCTCCAGAATTTATGTTGCAAGTTTGTACTCTTAACATCTCCAGTTTCCCCACTCCTCAGTCTCTGGTAACCGCCATTCTACTTTCTGCTTTTACAAGTTCAGGTATTTTATTCTTTTAAGATTCCGCATAGAAGTGATATCACATAGTAGTTGTCTTTTCTCTGACTTATTTAGCATAATGCCTTTGAGGTTCATCCATGTTGCAAATGGCAAGATGACCTTCTTTTTCAAGGCTGAATAATATTCAGCTTATATATATAAAGATATATATATATATCTTTACATATACACATGTCACATTTATAATATATTCCATTCATATATCTTTAATATTTGTTATCTATCACATTTACACACATATGTATCTACTATATACACATATACATTATATATATATTATATATCTCACACCTTCTTTACCCATTCCTCTGTTGATAGCCGTTTAGGTTGCTTCCATATCTTGGCCATTGTGAGTAATACTGCAGTCTACATAGGAGTGCAGGTATCTGAGATCCTGTTTTCGTTTCCTTTGGGTGTATACTGAGGAATAGGATTTCTGGGTCATATGGCACTTCAATTTTTAATTTTTTGAGGAACCACGATGCAGTATTCCATAATAGCTGTACTAATAGGTATGCCCAAACTGTTTTAAGTGTATCACCTTAATTCCTTCACAAAGATGCTCCTGTTCTCAAGAAGGTCAGTCTTAGAAGGAAAACTAAACCTAAAAATTATCATACTACCTATTCACTCATTAAATGTTTATAATAGTAGAATGTATTAAATTTTATAATAGAGAAAGTTGTAAAGTTCAGAGGTTGCAAAAATGTGGAGAGATCACTTTTCCTTGGGAAGTTTTTGTAGAAAACATATCAGTTAGCTATTACTACAGTAATACTACATAATAAAAATATAACATCAATAGTATACACAGTGAGTATGGGTTCAGCTGACCTGGGCTAGGCTCAACTGACTGGTTCATATGTTGCAGACTATCCAGGAAATTTTGCAAATACTGAGTTAGTGTAGAACAGTGACACTTTACATGGCATTGGGCAGGGATCCAGGAAGGGATGAAGAATAGAGGCATTAATTCAATCAACATAACAGTGAAGATGCAAAACCTGAAATAAGTATTAAGTATAAACATCTGTCAGAAAACACAGGAAAAGATGTCATAAGCATAACCAAAAAGTGTGGCATATCCTGTCTTCTTTTGGAAACTGAACTAGTTGAGTTAGAGTATAGAAAGTATAGTAAGAAATGGGAAGAAATGTGTTAGAGGGAGATAGTAACCAAGTACTGGAGGATTCTGTACACCAAGGATTGGATGAGATGGTCTGGTTCAACAAGGAACAAACTGCATGGAGCTAGGTAAAATTCATGTGCTTTAGGAACCCCTAGTTCAATTGCCTATTTGAAAGAGTTCAGTGATGACACAGGGTAAGTCAGCTGCCTTGTATATGCATTTGTGTGAAAGAGAAAAAAGTAGACAGCCCAGGAGATGATCTGTACTCTGTATTCTATGAACATGGGCCCCAGTGTCACAGTTTGAGGGGACAATGTACTTCTGCTGGGTTCTAAGTCAGTCTTGGTTCCCTCCTGCCTTGAATGCTGTGAGCATCTAGTGTGATTATGAGTGTGCTGTATAGTAGTGTTCAGCTTGATATGCATTTTCTCTACAGCTTGGCTCTGAACTAAGCTGACTTCTTCTCTGGCATTTTAACCATCCATTTCAACATGCGGGGCTGTGGGGCAAACTTACTGTGATAAGCAAGTATTGGGAAACTGTAGTCAGTCTCTGGCGTGACACCTTCTTGCTAAGGGATTTACAAGCACAGTTTCAGTTTGACTTTAAACAGTTTCCTTTGACTTTAAAACTTAATCTCATCTAAAATGAGACTCGCTATACCTCAGTGATGATATGGGCCATCGTGTCGTGAGAGTGAAAGGCAAGAGATGAAGAAGGACCAGAATACTTAGGTGTGGCTTCATGGAAGTAAAAAGAACTTGAAACGTATCCTGTGATGATAGGTCAGGATCACATAGGTTTACTTATTTGTTCCCTTTTGTGAGACTCTGTAATTCAGACTGTAAAGAACCTGCCTGCAATGCAGGAGACCTGGGTTTGACTCCTGGGTCAGGAAGATCCCCTGGAAAAGGGAATGGCTACCCACTCCAGTGTTCTTGCCTGAAGAATTCCATGGACAGAGAAGCCCTGCAGGCTATAGTCCATGGGGTGGCAAAGAGTCAGACATGACTGAGCTGCTAGCACTTTCATTTTCTAAGGTAGGTGAGGGTAGAGTATTATTCCCAGAAATAATAATATTCTTGACTTATAGTAGGTAGATGGAAGAATGGATGGCTGGACAGACTGAAGGACAGACTGATGGATATTCACTATAGAGCTAGAACATGATTGAAAGCAAGGTGGTAGAGAAGAAGGTTGCTGATGTGGAAAAGTAAGACATGACATTGAATTCTGAAATATATCAAGTGCCATGCTAAGGGTTTTGAATTTTATCTTGTAATGCTAAGAAATTACCTTGAACAAGTAAATGCCATGATGCTGAGCATTCTTAGATACAACTTCCATGGAAACTGCTGCTTGTTTGGGAAGAACTCTTCCATGTTCATGGTATTAATCATCAATAAAGATATTAGATTAGAAATAGAGTATGTCAGATCTCATTACTGGAAGGGGACCTGGCAACTATCTGATGCAACAGGCCATATAGCATAATATCAACAAAAATCTGAGCTTTTAATCTCAGTCTTGCCACTTAACATTTATGTAGTCTTGGACAAATGTCTTAACTTCTGAAAACCTCAGTTTTACTTATGTAAAATGGGATATCAATAGTTCCTAACACATGCAGTTGTGGCATGGGTTAAATGAAATAATAGTTGTAAAATGTTTAGTGCATTACCAAAGTGTCTAGAGAGTGTTCAGTAAAGTTTGCTTAGCTGTTATATAACCTCTCACCAAGGGCAGGGATTCATGTTCAGAACCTTATTCTTTTCAAAAATCCTTTGATGGGGAGCTCATTGCCTCGAGATCTCAGTGTTTTTCTTTTGGGGGGCAGATTTTATTCATTTAACACATATTTGTTGAGGATCTACCATATGCCAAGTCCTCTTATATTGAGAATACATTGAAAATATAGCAGTATATAAAACATATCTTACATGTGCCCCCACACATATTTGTTTGTTTATTCGAAAGTCCTTGAAGTTGGGCTGGAAAAGAAATGACTTCCTTATTCTACACTCTCAATCATCCATCCCAGATCTATGATTGATACAATGGATGTCGTCTCTACTCCTTTCTTTAAAAAAAAATTATCTATTTGGCCGCGTTGAGTCTTAAGTTGCAGCAGATGGGATCTTCATTGCATCATGCATATCTTTCATTTCACTGGACGACCTTCTAGTTTTGGCACGAGGGCTTAGTTGCTCAGAGGCATGTGGGACCTTCGTTCCCTGTCCAGGTATCAAACCTGCATCCCCTGAAATAAAGAGCTTCTCTCGGTTTTAGTGTCTGAATCAGAGATCCCCTGACTCAGGACTACCCTCTGACTCTTCTTAATAGGAAAAAACCCATAATTATACCTAATGAGGATTAGTTATAGCTAACTATAACTATAGTTATTCTTAACCACTGAATCAGCAGGGAAGTCCCCTTATTTTTTTTCTTTATATGATGTTTTTTAAAATATCTAAGGACTACATTCTTCCCTAATCTCAAACTGTCATTGTTTTTAACCACTATTCACAAAACAGGGCTCTGTGTTTTTGCTGTATCTCTGTGGATATATTTTGTAATCCTCTTTTTAGGAACTCAGTGCATTTGCAATAGCCATTTTTACTTCTAAGCCCCTTTATACTGTGTATTACATATAAGCGGCATTGTATAATGGAGCAAGTACAGGCCCAGGGTCAAATTAGCACGGGTTCAACCCCGCCTCTAATACAAGTCATTGAACAGCTCAGAGCTTTGATATGCATGTCTCTAAAGTGAACATAGTAATATTTACTTCATTGATTGTCACAAAGACTAAATGATATAGATTATATAAAGCTCGGGAGTACACAGAGGATGATCAATGAGTCTTAGTTTCTTCAGCCCTTGGCCTCTCCCTTTCTTCTTCTC